GGGTTTATCACATGGCTGCAAGGATTTATAATGGACTTCCAAATACAATCAAAATAATCTCAAATAATGCAAATAAGTTTAAAGCCAGTTTAATTTATATATTTAACTTTTTAATTTGATTTATATTACAAACATATTGACAACTGCTTGATTTATAAGCAAGATGAGTTTATACTACTGGACGATTTCTATATCTGTTGGTTGTGTAACTGTGTAAGGATTTTATGGAAAGAATGATGTGAAACTGACCAAGTAACTTCATTTTATCTGTAATAATACTTCTTATCTGATTAGTTGTCAATATTATTATCCATATTACTTATCACCATTATTTTATATTGTATATTGATTACTGTGTAAACTTTTCAAATTGTTTTATATTGCAAACATATTGACAACTGCTTGATTATAAGCAAGATGAGTTCAAACTACATAACGATTTCGGTTGTTTAAACCATGTAAGGATTTTATGGAATGTGAATAAATGAATGAATGGTGACTCTCCCCTAACAGGGGAATTTACAGTTAAATACTGTCTCGGAAATATGGAATGTTTAATGACCAACGTTATTTCATTAACCAAAGTAAGTTAATCTGTTAAATACAACATAACAACATGCGCTAACAAATTATACTTACGAAAATAAGCTCAATGTCACCTTGTTCTTCGTATGAAGTCATACTGCCGAAAATTACGTCATTCAACATACATTTCATACACAATTACAATACACCATATTGGCGTAAATTTACTCGTTCACCTTGCCAACCATGGTTACCAACATATAATGCATGGATCACAAAATAAATTTCATAACGGTCAATTAAATTCCCCACAAGTATAGTTCGGTGAGCATCCATGAAAGGATGTCGTATGAATTCATGGTTGAGACAAAATTCACGGTGGAAATGTATAATTTAATAGCGTACCACTCCTGTATTGTAGGCTGGAATAGCGACTAGCTACGGCCTGGACGGCCAAAAGGTCGGAGTTCGAGTCCCTGTTGGAACAAAAATTTCCCTTTCATCACATCATTAAGATTGGCAATGGGTACCGGTGGGCGCTTTCCCTGGTGGTAAAGCGGCCGGGGCGAGGAGCTGTTCACTCACCTCCAACTAGCGGCAAGGTCAAACCAATGTGTATCTATACACCCACATACACCTCTTTGACATAGCACTTAGTTAAGCACAGGGACAACTTTACCTTACTACAATATTTCGATATCTATAGCCTTTGAATGGTGGCGTACCACTGGTCTAAATTCTATTGTGTAGAACTGCTAGTCTGTCGAACTATCATTTCACAATTTCTCGATCATGATTTACTGAAATAAGTTTCCTCCCCATATAGAGAGCATCAGAACTATGAATCGGAGAGAAGACTCTCAGTTTTTAGTTGTCTCCATGAGAAATTCTTGTTACATTGCCCCAGAATTTCACTTATATCCCTATGCCCTAATCAGTTGACCTATTGCACACACTCCACTACTGCACAAATAAAATGACACCCAACTTGTCTTAATATCACAATCTACCGTTTAATAGCATCCCTGCCTTCAGCTGCTTGATGCTGTTGTGCTCACATAACCAGCTGCCTTTGATGTTAATAATACAGCCAACAGCCAGCAGCCTTCGGTGTTACTCATTGAAGTTAATGTTTCACAAGTATGCAATGAACTCAATTAGAATAATTGCCTATTTTCTGTTAACTATTAGTAGTGTATACAGTTTCTCTGTCAACAATGAATAAAGTACCTATACAGTATGGTCTTACATGCCATTACAACTGAAATAGGCTAACCCAATCTATTGTTCACTTTTCAATACACAAAAAGCATTGTCTTTCATGAAACACAGCCACTGACATTACTCAGATAAACGGCAGAAACACTGTGTGGACTCGTGTGAAACAATTTCCAGCATCAGGGTAACAAGAACAAAAAAAAAATTATAAAAACCAAGACAAAGGAAATTACATAATTTTCCACTATAGTAAATTTCACACTACTTAATGATTCTAAATGTTTGTGGGAACATCCCACATTATCATGCATTTCTGCAACGCTCGCTCTTCACATCACTTTTCACCATCACGCGCGCTAACCAATCAGTCTGCTTTTACTGGTTCTCACGGTCTCTTCGCTTGCATATTTCTTATATTTTTTCTTATACGCTGAAGATGGAGGCGATACGATCCTCCGAAACGTCGGTTAACACCACATATGCACGGTGCCAAATCCCAGAAGAGTGCTTTCTGTTAATATCTTAATGATCAGCAGTGTAATACCACATACTGTTTCAAATATATACACTCTTACATATAAAATTAAATGTGCGTTTTGATGTTCATTTATATCTTCAAAATTAGAGGTCCCATCTATTGCAGTGTATACATAGTCTTTCCAAGTGGCATGAAGAATTCTGAGATTATCATCAATAATTTCTTAATGTCATGTCAATGCATACATGATATAGAATGCCTGTACTACCAGAAATAACTGAAACCAGGAAACACAAAGTGGAAAATCGCAAATGTCATAACTACAAAAAATGGGTAGTTCTGCCAGTTTGTAAGACAATAAAAGTCATCAGAACATAAATGTAAAATTATTATAATACATGTTACATATGTTGATTACATATACATTTAATCACACCCTGATCACACATACATTCAACAATACTTAAGTTGAATGCTGAAAAACTGAAATGTCCATCCCAATATAACGTTAATTTAAATCATATAAAGCACTTTTCACTTTAAAAATTAGAATGTGTTAACTTGTCACACAGCTTTTAGCAGAAAACTAAGATCTGACCCTGCTTCATACTCCTCAGGATTCTTTTCCCTGGAAAGCAGAAATAACTGTATAAAAGTTCTAAGTCATTTAACAAGATTAATGCAATGAATTCCCTGGAAAACAGAAATATATGTATAAAAGTTCTAAGTCATTTAACAAATTAATGCAATGAAATACGTTAGACTTAGTACTTTTTATAATCAGAGTTTCACTATAGTGACAAAAAACACTGAAACTGTCAATTTCTTACTGCTGAACAACTGGAAACGACTGGATGAAATGAACGTTTTAATCAGCACGTTCATCACCATGAGTGATTGAAATCTAGAGGCACTGCTTTCCCATAACTTCTTGCAGTTTTGTTCCTGAAGTTATTTATGACTAGCAGCCCTGAAGGTCCTCCTTCTCTGTCCATTGTCTTGGACAAAGTTCGCATTCCAGAATCTAATTGTTAGCAGCTAACTCTGAGTTTTAAAAAATGGGAAATGTACATCACATGATGTCCACTGCACCATGCAGATTCTTTTCTTTCCTTGTTACACTGGTATCCTCTTCCTCTAAGCTCTCTCTGATGTCACAGAACATGAATAGGAGGGAACATGCTTAAGGTCTTATTACATCAAATATCCACTGTATCTCAGTTGGTGCTGACTGAAAAATTTTGAAAAACTATAATTATGGCAATGAAATAGAAGAGTTGAGACTTTAATACAAAACTTGAAATAATACCTCGATATGAACTTGGTAGCTCACCAAAAAGTGCAACAGGAAGGTGGTAGGACTTAAACCTCATTGATATCTTTGTTTTTATGATACTGAAGAACAAATGGAAAGTACATAAAATACTACTCTCAGAAAATTAACGTTGTTCCTTTCTTTTATGAGTACATATTGATCAAACTCATTTTATGATACTAGTTTGTGATAGTGTAACAAACATGAGATGAGATGTGGACTACCAGCCTATGTCACAGATGAGGGAATTATAGATTGTATAGATCCTATCCAGCTGTCTTATAAACAGGGTGGTAATATAAATATACTCCTTCATAGAAAAAAATAAACAGTTATGGATTTGTGTACACTTTACATGCCACTATCAAAACATGCATTTAACAGTAAAATGTAATGGCTGATACACAACCATTGCCTAGGTGTATAACGTCAAAAGTTGCACACACTCCAATGATGCATTTAGAACATCCCATAACACAGTGTATGCACATAATGATTGGTACAATGATACATCTGTTACTCAAGTTCATTACAACTACACACGTGTGCAGAGAATTATGGGTGGAATATGGGTGGGACATGTGAGCAGAACATAAGCAATCCATGTTCATGGATATGCAGAAAACAGTGGGTTGACTTTTACTCATACAGCATAGCTCCTAATTAGCAATTAGTTGTGATTGTATAATTAACTGCTAACTTCATGGCACTGAGCCCTCCCTGAGAAGCCGCATGGGGCTAACAGCTCCTCACCAAAAAAAAATAAGCTTGTTATGAAAATTTGCATTTGACCTGGATGGATTCCTTGACAACGAAAGTATTGGTTGTAAACATGTTTATGTTCAAAATTACCTCCAACAAGATTTGTTCCAGAGAATCAGGGCGAGAAAACAAGATCAGAATGAAAATATTTTTCACTTTAACCAAAAAAAGATATATATATATATATATATAGTGAGACACTGTTCAGATACTTACAGCAATGTGATGACACTCCATTCTGTTAAATATTCATGATAAAAGACAGTTTCTTCCTTTCTTTCATTCCCTTCTTCAAAACTTCCGCATGAAAGCTAAGCAAAGCTTAACAAAGAAAACTGATGCTTCCCACTCTCAGAGAACCAATGGTACTGTCAACATTTCTTGAGATTACTTTTTGGCTTAAAAAATGAAAAACTCATTTATTATACTGTTACTGTACAATCTTAGTATTTTAACAAAAATTTACACGACATAACACCAGAAAATGTATTATGTGTTATTTAAGTCTACAATATGAAACAAATGTCTTTCACTTTGCAATGGCTTGTTTCTTCTGTGGGACATGACTTCCATAAATTTATTATCTATATGACTTCTTTGCTCTCCAGTCTAGGTACTCATCAAATTCAGCTTCATCTGCACTAGACGCTTCAAGGTCATCGTCACCAGCATTCCTTCTTCTATTCCCAGCTTTCACTGCTGTTTTTATCTCAATCTCCATGTCCTGCACTCTGTAAAATATAATTTTTTTTTATTCGCTTAGTGGGGTGTGGAGTCCAACTGGGTCCACTCGGCATGGCGGTCACTGATTGGCCTATTGGAGCCTGCCCTGGGTGATTATGATGATGGAGAATTTGGTGGAATGAAGATTGGCAGGGTAAACTGAAGTACTCGAAGAAAACCCGCCCCAGCGCCACTTTGTCCACCACAAATCCCACTTGACCAGACCCAGAATCGAACCTGGGCCGCCACGGTGGGAAGCCAGCAACTAACCGCTTGAGCTATGGCGCAGCCATGTAAAATATAAATAACACAGACAATTCCATAAGTAGGCCATGCATCTACACAATATGTTTCGTTATTACAGACTTCCTCCTTCAGTTCCCTGTTTGGTTTCCTCACATAAAATAATTCTTTTACCTGGACCAATTCCGCATCTGTTCATCAATCTCATCGATTTGCCTTTCTGCTGTGGCTTCTTCATGATCTTTAGTAATGATCTGTGCAGATACTGTGGACTGCTCCTTCATTTCTTTCTGAAATTTCTCCCATTCCTCTTCAATTGGGTCTTTGTATTCCACACTGCGTGCCTGTCAAAACAGAGCAACTGAATAAAGCTGCCAGTCACTCAGCTACTCATGAATTTCACAATATTTTATGGTACACGAAAAGTCATTACTGTCTTCATGAGAGCCCTCTACAGGTCTTTAGCCTGAGCCAGATTAATCCAGTTTATACCCACCCATCCTATCTTTCTAAGGTCCATTTCAACATCATCTTCCCACCTATATCTAGGTCTTTCTAGTAAAATTCTACATGCAATCCTCTTTTTCCCCATGCACGCTACATGACCTCATCTCATCCTTCTTATCCTGATCATTCTAATTATACTTGGAGAAGAGTACAAGTTATGAAGCACCTCATTATGCAGTTTTCTCCAACCTCCTGTCACTTCATCCCTCTTCAGTCCAAATATTCTCCTCAGCACTCTGCTCTCAAGCACCATCAATCTAAATTCTTCCCTTAATTTCAGAGAGCAAGTTTCACACCCATACAAAAACACACATAAATACACAACATCAGCCGCCTATCCATTGGGTACTGGGGACTTCTTCTCCGGAAGTAAAGCGACCGGAGCGGGAAGCTGACCACTCAACTCCAACTAGTGCCAAAGTGAAAATGTGGATCAATACATCCACTCCCCCCTACTCCTTCATGGTGTAGAGCTTAATTAGTTAAGCACAGAGACAACTTTATTTACTTTATCATAAATTATTCCAAGTTGGAAAGAACACTTTCTGCAGAATATGTGAGAGCAGATACATGACAAAATTTACTGACCAACAGCAGAATTCCGTCATTAAGATCAGCAGAATTTTCTGTACTAAACATGAACTGTACTGCGTTGGATTTGAGATTCTCATAGCAGTCACTAAGAAGAATACAGTCTTCTGGAATGTAACAACACGTAGTTCAGAGACAACCTGATGTTTTGGAGGAACATACTGCTTCCATCTTCAGGGTCAACAAACCAGGGAAGATGGTGGCAAGTACAGACAGTGACCTACATAGTCACTGCCATAAGAACCTCAACACCAACACAGTAATAATACAATTTCCACTGTACACACGTTACATTTGCTGCACACATGCACATACGAAGGGGGACCCAAAAATAACCGGAACTGACCTGTTGCGTGCGCATGCTTTGTAGTTACGAGTTGCGCTGCTAGGTGGTGTTAGCTGGGGGTCTCCCACGACTGTTAGTGAGCTGGCGTCAGTCTGAGTTAAGTGGTTTGTCTGTGGTGCTCTGTTGTGTGCGTTCCTGTTTCAACCCTTTGGCGATTAGTGAGATGGCCGACCAGAAGGAACAAAGAGTGTGCGTGAAATTTTGCTTTCTGTTAGGGAAAACTGCAGCCGAGACTGTTGGGATGCTTCGGCAAGCCTTTAATGATGATGCTTTGGGGAAATCGCAGGTCTGCAAGTGGTTTTCCCATTTCAAATCTGGCAACATGTCAACATGCCATGCCCCGGGCGTCCTTCGACAGGAAGAAATGACGAAAACATTGCCAAAATCAAACGTGCAATTGATGAAGATAGTCGAAAGACCATTGACCAACTTTCTGAGGAAACGAACATCTCATGGAGCACGGTCCAGCGAATTTTAACCGAAGGTTTGCACATGAGACGGGTGTCTGCAAAATTTGTTCCTCGCTTGCTCGGAGATGACCAAAGAGAAAACCGCGTGAATGTTTGCCACAACTTGAAGAGTGAAGTGCAGAATGATCCAGAATTTCTTAAAAGAATTGTGACTGACAATGAGTCTTGGTGCTACGGGTATGATCCAGAATCAAAGCAATCATCAAGCCAGTGGAAAACTCCAACTTCACCACGACCGAAGAAAGCGCGTCAAGTGCGATCCAATGTGAAAACACTGTTGATTTGTTTTTTTGATGTGAATGGCATTGTCCACAAAGAGTTCGTTCCACCAGGACAAACAGCGAACCAACATTTTTACCTGGATGTATTATGAAGATTATGAGAGAGTGTGCAACGAAAACGGTCCGAAATGTGGAGAAATGGGAACTGGTTGCTTCACCACGACAATGCTCCAGCCCACACAGCTTTGACGGTCCGACGGTTTTTGACAAGCAACAACATGGTGATTGTGCCTCATCCACCTTACTCACCCAACTTGGCTCCGTCAGACTTTTTTTTGTTTCCACAGATGAAGAGAAGTCTGAAAGGAAAGCGATTCCGTGATGTGGATGAAGTCAGAGAAAACACGCTAATCGCCAATCGCTAATCTCACTAATCGCCAAAGGGTTGAAACAGGAACGCACACAACAGAGCACCACAGACAAACCACTTAACTCAGACTGACGCCAGCTCACTAACAGTCGCGCAAGACCCCCAGCTAACACCACCTAGCAGCACAACTCGTAACTACAAAGCATGCGCGCACAACAGGTCGGTTCCGCTTATTTTTGGGTCCCCCCTCGTACATACAAACATATGGTCTTCAAAACTCAATTTGTGTCTAAAACACTGAATATTTCCTCCTGCCCTCTGCCTCTTTCCCATATCCAAACTCAATGAATAATAAAAAAAAAAGATTTACAGTACTTTGGACATTAGGAAGAATACTTACAACAAGAACTCAGCACATTTTCTATGCAGCAGTAAATAATGTTCCATGTACACAAGTAAAATCAGTCTGTGTGACTCATTCTGGTGAGTCACCTGGTAGAGCTGGGAATGTGTAGTCAGTATAGCGACTGGCAACGAGATGGACAACCAAGGGGTCAGAGTTCGATTCCCAGTAGGGTCAAGAATTTTCTATTCCTCCACTTCGTCTAGACTGACTCTGGGGCCCACTCAGGATTCTATCCTACGGGCTTCTTCCCCAGGGGGTAAAACGGCCGGGGTGTGAGGCTGATCACTCACCTCCAATTAGAGATGAGGTCAAGAAAATAAGGATCTATACTTCTACTCCCCCATACGTATTCATGGCCTTACATCTGGTGTTATGACAGGTATTTCATACAGATACGATTCACGTTTAGAAACATGCTGAACCCCTGGTGACTTAAAAGGGGAGGTAAGTGCACACAGCCGAATGGTCTGCTCTTGCAGACGGAGGGATCAAACGCTTTCTTATTACTTAGTCTGTTTATGAGCATATTAAGATACTAACTTTAGAAGGGCTGCGCCATAGCTCAAGTGGTTAGTCGTTGGCTTCCCATCGTGGCGGCCCGGGTCTGGTCAAGTGGGATTTGTAGACAAAGTGGCACTGGGGCAGGTTTTCTCAGAGTACTTCGGTTTCCCCTGCCAATCTTCATTCCACCAATTGCTCCACAATTACTCTTATCTATCATCTGGGGCTGGTACAATAGGCCAGAATTGCTGCAGTGCAAGGGACTTAGTCAGACCCCACTAACAATAAAAAAAATAAAAAAGATCCTAACGTGGAAAAGAATTGTAAGTAAACATAATGGACGGAAGTCCACTGTTATTTCAGATATTTACAAGGCCCTATTAATGAGATACATTATTCCTCACCTTGGCATCCAGCAGGGGGTCATCAAAAAACCTTCTGGAAGGACCTCTTCTTGATTTGATGCAACTGTTTTGGTGGTCTCAGGTGGTGGTTCAGAATCATCGTCTGATGGATCCTCTCCATCTTCCATTACAGTACCCTCATTTCGATTAACTTCTTCTACAGTTGCATGATTTCCCAAATCGAAAAAAATCTTCTAGCACTTTCGGCTGTGGTGCATTTTTTAGAATTCCTGTCAAAGATATAACATTTTAAAATTAATATAAACTAGAATCTTAAAGAAGACGTTGCATCTGTGACCAAGAACGACGTCACAAAAACCTAAAGGGCCGCGCCATAGCTCAAGCTGTTAGTCACTGCTGGCTTTCCACTGCGGCAGCCAAAATATAACATTGTAAATATTATGTTATTCATTTTCTTGTCATATTGCAGACCATATTGCAGCTGCGAGTTGTTGTAGATTACAACACTCGTAGCTAAGAAGGGAACACACATCACAAGACGCAGTTTATACAGAAAATAAGATAAATGACCCCGTAGTGAACGAACCACATACAAGTTTTAATTAAGACAAATAAGATGAATTATCTTAACAAGTTTTAGCGAGTGTAAATTTATCATAGTTGACAAATACGGACTTTTTAAATAATTTTTAAATGGTTTGTGAAAACATATGAGGGCAAGCAATGCAATAGATTAACGTAGTTGGGACACCTGATGATGGCACTGTGTTGCCGAAACATGTTGTGAAGTGACAGGAGAAATTGTGTGCACTACAGGACGGCCACTGTATACATATAATGGATAATATTTACATTTGACAGTCAGGAAAGTGAGTCATTCATCAGTCATAATGGTATGATACTGAAATCAAGTGCCCTCATACTTGTCTACCCCTTTAATAAATGTACAAAATGGATATCATTGTCACAGAAGTTTTATAACACATGTTTTATTTGTCAACAAGTGGCACTGAATCATTGTGACTGTTGTGTTTCAAAAGGAAAAAAGATTCTTCTGCATGCTCATATAAATGGATTGTATTTTCTGCAATTATTCTCGCTAACATTTTTGTAATATGAAATAGACATATTACAAATATATACTACGTTCATATAATGAACTTCAAAATTATTCCAAATAAACACTCAAAACTTCATAAGACTTTTGATATGCAAAACATTAGACCAACTTGCGTAATATAAATTTGTGATGATTTAAAAGATTCTGTATTCAGCTGAAAGAATTTAAAAACGCAACCAAGTTGGAATGTTCCATCTCAGCTGGAACCAAACCAAGCTTCCTCAAACAAAAAAGCAGGTATGAATTGCTATACTAACCTCTGAGCTTTTTAGGGGGTGGGGTCTCTTCAGTCTGTGCTGGTCTCTTGAGCTTTGGAACAGAAGGACACACAAAATTCACTGTTTCTTCTCTTCTCCTCATGGCATCAGCAAAGTTTTCACGATGTTTCTTGCTATTGATATGGACCTTCCATATTGCTTCACTGCGGACTACTGATTCACACACTGTGCATAACAGCTGTCCACTGTTATTGTATGTGAGAAATAAGTTAAGTATGTATAGATAATCATGAATTTAGAGAAATACTGAAAAGTAACCAACGCATAACTAGAATATGCACTCATGTTCACGTAACCAACTTACTTACTCATGGATCTGAGCCCTTCTGGAGGAGCCGCCAATTCTGCAGCTACTCAAGAATTTCCCAGCATTTTATGGAACCCGAAGGTTCATCACCGTGTTCACAAGAGCCCTCCACTAGTCCCTATCCTGAGCCAGATCTATCCAATCCATCCCATCCTCTCTCTCTCTCTAAGATCCATTCTAATATTGTCCACCCACCTCCGCCTTGGTCTTCCCTGTGGTATCTTTCCTTCTGGCTTTCCCATCAATATCCTATAAGCATTCCTCGTCTCCCTCATTCGTGCTACATGACCTGCCCACCTCATCCTCCTTGACTTGATCATTCTAATTATATTTGGAGAAGAGTAACAGTTATGAAGCTTCACATAACCAACTGCAAGTGAAAATTTGTATCTAACAAGTTGAAAATAATGTTATTTCATCATGTAATAATTTTTAACGTTTGTACTAAAATGTACATGCCTGACAAATAAAATGTTCTTTTTACCAATGAACTATGCCTAGGTCACAATGAAGTGCGGGCAGATTGGCATCAGTTTCTCACCGTGAATGACAATTTTAGTTCTATGAGAGTAGTTCATTTGGGACTTGCACTCCAAAGACCGACAATGAAATAGGTTTTCTGCCAAGCACAGGTTTACTACGCACTTATCACTAATTCAGGTGTGTAACATACCTTGTTGCACAGAATATTGTCTTAATTAAGTAACAGAACTTATGTGGAATCAAAAAGCACATTTCGACGTAGAGTAGCTTTAGTCCTTGTACAGTATTCCGCACTCTTAACTCCTAAACCTTGTTAACATCATTGTAATATTGAAGTCGAAATAACAACGATGCTACATTCAAAGGCTGAGTAAACCTCAATAAAAATACTCTGTTGAGAAATACAATATACACACAAATCGACATAATACTAATGTCACAAATAATGCACTCGGCAATACATAACCTAAAATTCTTACGCTAGAAGAATTACGCTACTGGAGAATCTATCTTCTTAACTGTTTCTGAGATCTTGCGTTTCTGTTCAATCATTATATGTCTCAAGTCATTCTGTGTAATCTTCTTCTTTCCTGTTACAAGAGATCCAAGGGACGGAGCCATAATCCATCACTACTTTCGGCATAAAATTTCTTCTTTCAATTGACAACTATGTTGCTCAGGGTCGCTCAGGGTCCGGGGTGTGCAACTGAGATAGGAAAAGGGAAACACGATAACTACTGTAGAAAGCAGTCTTCATAGTCGTCATAGTCACCGCCGTGAAGGCCGAAAAAGCATCAAATCTTACATGCTAACTACTGCCTCTAAGACCTCTAAGAGGTCTAAGAGCGTCTAAGAGCCTAAGAGGCTCTAAGAGCGAAGGCAGATAGTGCACGCAGGTCTCGACCAATCAGAGAGCCTAAACAAACCAGTTTGAATTCCTGCAGTTATATGCCGTTATTTTGGATCAATATAGGCAAATTGGTAAGTATGAATTTTGAGTTGATGTGGTTGCGAAACTAAAGTAGACATTTGCAAACGAAATTACAGCTCCATATTAAACATATTTTTTGTGTATTGTGATCAATATTGAACTTGCGAATATTTACATATTCAAGATTTTCAAGGTTCATTATATTGCTTCAGTAATTTCATCATGTTATCCATATTATTGAACACAACATAATGAAATTACTGAGGCAATATAATGAACCTTGGAAATCTTAAATATGTAATGTAGCACGAATGGGGGAGATGAGGGATGCATATAGGATATTGGTGGGAAAGCCAGAAGGAAAGAGACCACATGGAAGACCAAGGCATAGGTGGGTGGACAATATTAGAATGGATCTTAGAGAGATAGGATGGGATGGTGTAGATTGGATAGATCTGGTTGAGGACAGGGACCAGTGGAGGACTCCTGTGAACACGGTGATGAACCTTCGGGTTCAATAAAATGCTGTGAAATTCTTGAGTAGCTGCAGAATTGGCAGCTCCTCAAGGAGGTCTCAGCTCCATGAGTAAGTAAGTAAGTAAGTAAATATTATTGTGTTCAGCATTGAACTTATGAACGCCTCACAACCCTATGGGCCTTCATGGCCTGTTACAGGGATAGCTCTACTTTACTTACTTTACTTTTACACACACACACACACACACATATATATATCAGATTTTCAAGGTTCATTATATTTATAATGTGTATATATTAACCATCTTTTAGTGCATACAGTTTCACTTGTCACTTCACACTACACATTTCGGCATCATTCTGCCATCCTCAGGTGTATTAATCACATTAAACCATTGCACTGTCTGCCATCAAGTGTCCATTTATAAAATGATATAAAATGTGTATTGGTCGTTGTTCAATAATAAAATTTATATATTAAAACGTGTCAAGATCTATCATCTTACATGCCGTATATCAAACTCGTGTGTAATGCCATTCATCCTCTACGGGAGTCGTTCTTATGTTTTCATTGTGTATATACTGTGTCTTATGATGTGTCTTTCTTATGTGGCTGCGTGCGTTGCATTGCTGGACGTATGTGTGTGTAAAAGACGGTTAATATATACACATTATGGATACAAATCAGTGTAACAGGACACTGAAATACAACATTCATTATATTTGTTCAGTTAATTTATTATTTTGGCCACATTATTATGTTTAGTATTGAATTTGGAAACATGAGCATATTTCAGATCATGATGTTTGTCAGAGTTCTGCAGTTATTTTATTGCTTTTCATACACTAACAAATACAATCTTGATCTTGTTAACAAAAGTGTATATTAGATTCTCGAGTTTCGTTATACTACTGAAATTAATAACCAATGGAAACCTCAGTATTATTACTCCCTATACGTGATTTATAACACATTAATGTGACTGAAAAGCTATGTTTTGTGTAGCTTTCAATTACAAGTTGTAACCAAGGTTATGAAGTTGAATACAAGTATCTCTGATGGAAACAGAATTTTCTTTCAAGTTTACTCACCATCAGCTTTCCTAAACACAAGTATTCTATATATGTTACAGTTCAAATATCCATTGCATTTCAGTAAGGGGGTGTTGAATTGATGTAAATGAAATGTTCTTATTTTACAGGCACTGGTGAGAAACTTTCTCCGGATAAATAATGTTGCAACCTGATATCTTGTACTGCAGAGGTTCTTACTCCATTGTGTGTTTTCTGTTTTCGAGCACGAGACATGGTGAGTACCAAACATTATAATACAACACATAACAAATAGAAGCTGAAAGTAATAATAATAATAATAATAATAATAATAATAATAATAAGTACTTTTTCACATTGCAGATATACACGGAGAGTAAGAGGAATGACTCCCACAGTGGAGGAACTATGTGCAGGTTTAAATTTGGACAGATAGGATAAATAATCTTAACAAGTGTTTAATGTAAAAAAATTTATTATAATTGATGAACATTTTTAAATACTTTCTTAAATAATTTTACAATGACATAATGGCAAGCAATGAAATAGATTAACGTAAAAAGAGCACCTGATGATGGCATTATAGTGCTGAAACATGTTGTGAAATAACAAGTGAAATTGAGTGCACTAAAGGATGGACACTGCAAACATATCTTGGACGAAAGTCAGTGCAACAGGATGCTAAAATACAACATTAGAGTTTGATATCATTTAACTCATTCCACTCCAGATGGTTTGAGCGAAGTGATATTAAACTCGGTTCGAAAACAGAAAATACACAAAGGAGTAAGAACCTCTGCATTACAAGATATCAGGTTGCAACATTATTTATCTGGAGAAAGTTGCCCACCAGTGCCTGTAAAATATGGACATTTCATTTACATCGATTATTAATTCTAGCCTTAGTGTGAACCGGTGATTTTTTGGGAGGGAGCAGTAAAAGAATGCTGGTGGTATAATAGCATACTTTCTTACCGACAGGGCAAGTGGTATGATAGCATACCTTCTTATCGACCGAGCCCTCGACACTGGCAGCAGGCATTTTTTTTTATCAAAAGAGCTGGCTCTGGGCACCGTGGCAGCAGTGATGCTTCATGACGTCACGGCGGTTATGTTGCCTGGCAATAGCGGACGATAGCATTGAGTTGAAGAAAGCAGTCTTCTGGGATTTGGCACCGTGTATATGTGGTGTTAACCGACGTTTCGGAGGAACGTATCGCCCCCATCTTCAGGGTAGAAGAAAAAGTATAAGAATTCTGCAAGCGACAACACCGTGAGAAACGGTAAAGCAGACNGAACTTTCTCAAGTTTACGTGCTTGCTCATGTTCCTTTGCCAACTGAAGTAATTTCTTCTTGTGTTCACGTTCCTTACGCTCCCGTTCGGTTAGCCTAGATTAAAAAGTGAGATAGGAATACTAAGAATTGGGGAACTTTTACCAGATTCTTATATGAAACTCTACAGCATTTAAATAGATTCACTTACTCTTCCTCCTGAAACAGATATTCATCATCAATGATATCTGCCTCCAATTCTGCTCTCTTGTCCTTCTCTCTTTTCACTAAGTATTTTCGTCTTGATTTAATTCGCAGCTGTTGAGTAATTTTTAATCTACCTTCTGACTCAAGTTTTAATCGTTTGCCTGGTACTGTTGACATGCTTTATATTATTCTGATCGATTCTGATTAATTTTAAAAATGGCAGCCGTGCTGAAGTGCTGAACGTATTCCTCAGGGTGATGCAAGTCAATGCTGTGTAAGATTTGAGGCTTTCACGGCGGTAACTATGAAGAAAGCAGTCTTCTGGGATTTGGCACCGTGTATATGTGGTGTTAACCGACGTTTCGGAGGAACGTATCGCCCCCATCTTCAGGGTAGAAGAAAAAGTATAAGAATTCTGCAAAATTCTTATACTTTTTCTTCTACCCTGAAGATGGGGGCGATACGTTCCTCCGAAACGTCGGTTAACACCACATATACACGGTGCCAAATCCCAGAAGACTGCTTTCTTCATAGTTACCGCCGTGAAAGCCTCAAATCTTACACAGCATTGACTTGCATCACCCTGAGGAATACGTTCAGCACTTCAGCACGGCTGCCATTTTTAAAATTAATCAGAATCGATCAGAATAATATAAAGCATGTCAACAGTACCAGGCAAACGATTAAAACTTGAGTCAGAAGGTAGATTAAAAATTACTCAACAGCTGCGAATTAAATCAAGACGAAAATACTTAGTGAAAAGAGAGAAGGACAAGAGAGCAGAATTGGAGGCAGATATCATTGATGATGAATATCTGTTTCAGGAGGAAGAGTAAGTGAATCTATTTAAATGCTGTAGAGTTTCATATAAGAATCTGGTAAAAGTTCCCCAATTCTTAGTATTCCTATCTCACTTTTTAATCTAGGCTAACTGAACGGGAGCGTAAGGAACGCGAACACAAGAAGAAATTACTTCAGTTGGCAAAGGAACATGAGCAAGCACGTGAACTTGAGAAAGTTCAACGTTATCATATGCCAGAAGACCTCAAGAAGGTGCTGTATTCACATATTTATCATGTTAATGTATTTTGGTAACAAAAGTAAAGTCAATATAATTTGTGTGGTTTTCCCATGAGTGCCTTTGTTGTTCTTGTACTACAGTGTAATTGGATAAAACTATAGAACAGGGCATTTATTCACTACAGCATCACATAATGTTTGTTCATAAATCTTACTAGATGATGACCAGCTGACATTGTTTAGCCCTTGACTGCAGAAGAATGTTTTCCAACATGTGAGATATTAAAAGGTTATGAACATATCAATTTTTAGGAGTGTTTTGCATAAGATGAGACTAGTAACAATGGATCCATGGGTTAGTAGTCCAGTGATGGAGGTCGACAGCTTTTTTTTATTGCTAGTGCGGTGGGACTAAGTCCTTTGTACTGCGGCCACTTCTGGCCTATTGTACCAGCCCCAGATGATAGGTGAGGGTGATTGTGGAGAAATTTGTGGAATGAAGATTGGCAGGGGAAACCGGAGTACTCGGAGAAAACCTTCCCCAGCGCCACTTTGTCCACCACAAATCTAATGTGACCAGACCCGGGATTGAACCCGGGCCGCGGTGGAAAGCCAGCGACTTACCGCTTGAGCCATGGCGTGGCCCTGTTGACAACATTTGTAGCATTTTAAATGCCTGATGATGACTATATGGCCGAAACATGTAGTGCATATTGTTAGTGAATATATACTGGTTGCATTGATATCACCCATGTTTTTAGTTGTGTGTTTATAAGTTGTATTGTAATAGACAGACTGATATACATAGTTATGGACATTGGTGTCATGTAATATGGCACATGTTTACAACATTTGAAGAGTTCACACTAATATAAAATATGCTATTTTTAATAGTATTTATAGTTTTGTCTTGTGTGCTGTGCAGAATGTGTACCATATTGTGTACCCTTTAATATGGGACACATGGTAGCAAAGTTGAAGCAAAATGCTTCAAGCCAGAAGGTTGTGGATTCAATTCCCAATAGGGCATTGGATTTTTCAGTTGACCAAATCCTGCCAGCTACACTGTGGCACTGGAGCCAACTCAGCCTTTAACAGAAATGAGTACCAGGAATCTTCCTGGAGGTAAAGATTCAACTGGCGCGTAAGGCTGACAAGCTCACTGCCATCTCTGAGTCAATTTGTCTAGAAAATGTGGAAGCCTTGACGTCTCCCCGCCCTATGGGCCTCCATGGCCTGTTACAGGGATAGCTTGACATTTTATCTTTTTTATACTCCTGAATATTGTTGTAAAATTGAGAAGTACTGTAAAGAATAATGGATTTGTATGCATACTGAACACTATTTTATTTATGCACCTTTATCATCTGGGAATGGGGGAGATTAAATCTGGATACTCTGGGACTGGTAGTCAGTTTTTAATTCATGAGTAGCAGGAATATGGAATTTGAAATCCTCAAATACTCTTGAACTGGCACTTGTATTTTAATTTGGCATAATACTAGGTGGTTCAAATATGACCGGGACTGATTTAAAAAAAAACATAATTGCCAAACACTTACTTGCACATGTCAGTCTTCAGCGTACTCCCCTCCGGAGTCAACACATTTTTTCCAACTTTCTGGAAGCATCCTGATGCCCCCCCAAAAAGAGACTTGTGGTTGGCGATGTATCCACTCCCGAACAGTGGATGACGGTGTTGTCCACAAACCACATGCCTTGCAAGTCTGATTTGAGCCTTCTGAATAGGTAGAAATCACTTGGGGCCAAATCGGGACTGTACGGCGGATGTGTCACAAGGTTCCATTTCAATTTCCGGAGGGTTTCCATTGTTGTTTTGGCCGTATGGGGGTGTGCATTGTCTTGAAGGAACGCTACCCGCTTTCCACCTGTCTTCCACTTGGATCGGATCTTACTCCAAGTTCCTTGATAGTGATGTGCCTATTCTCATGAATAAGCACGTCTGCACGATCAATGTTCGGCTCGGTGATGGATATTCGCAGCCAACGATCATGCAGTTCATTCTCCACGCGCTCTCTACCCTCTCTGGAGCACTTACACCACTCAAACACACAGGTCTGTGAGAGACACTCTTCCCCATATTGTTGTTGGAGTCTGTGGTGAATTTTTCAGTGGACTGGACGTTTTCTCCAACGAGGAATTTGATCACAATGCATTGTTCCATGCTCCATGGTAGCTTCTGTTCTCTCATCACTCTAGCAACTTCCAGACAGGACTGAACAGGTTCTAACCCTAACAGGAGGGAGGGTGGAGGTTGTGGCTTCACTCTCGCAAGGTTGCACAGCTGCTGCCAAGTGCGGCTTGTTTTCAAAAAAATCAGTCCTGGTCATATTTGAACCACCTTGTATCAATAATAATGAAAACATGCATTGTTTATTGTAGGATTTGAAGCTGTCACAATGGTGGTCATGAAGAGTTCTGTCTTCTGGGATTTGACACTGTATAGTCCATTGAAAGCCAACCAACATTTTGCAAGAACATATCACCTCCATCTTCAGGGTTGACGAATAAGGCAATGCTCTGCTTGCAACACTGATTTCTTACTTCGCTTATTCTTTGACTCTGAAGATAGAGACAACATGTTCTCTGGAACATCAGTTTCATGGGCTCTGTGGCATTATATCCCAGAAGACAGAACTCTCTGTGTACTGATAAAGCTTAATATGCCGAAAGGGTAGAGGTATCATCCATAAGAATGTTCGTCTTAATTTTGCTGTCTCTTCACGCACTTTTCTTTGGGGGTGGGGGTACAGTGTGTTACCAGTGGAGATGGTCAGAACATGTTCTCTCCTCCAGGGCCAGGCTAATGAGAAATACGTGGAAGTGGACGAGCGTGAAAAAGCACCACATTATGAGCAGCGGAAATGGGAGGAGGAGCAAATGTCATCAGCTGTGTTCCGATTTGGTGCACGTGATAAGGAGAAAATTCATGAAAAAGGTCAAGAGTATGACCTGGTTTTGGATGATGAAATTGAATTTATTCAGGCTTTGAGGATGCCGGGCTCCAAGCCAGACCAAGAGGTAAGATTTTATCTCTTCACTAATATGAAGATGATATCTTATCTGGCTTCTTTTGCTCTGAATGTTATTAATATGAGGATATAAACCATACTTTCCAGCTTGTGGCAGTTTGAGCAAACTGTGGCTCTGAACTACTGACAGGTATGAATGAAATTTATGAACAGATGATGACAAATTGAGCACTTAAAGGATTGATGAGTTGTTATGTAATTGAAATGTGTGTCCAGCATACAGATAGCATTTCAGAAGGTCTCTGATTTGTGATTAGAACATTCTACAAGTTCAGTAAGAAAATAGAAATGACACTTCAGAGCATACACAGTAATGAACCTTTATATTCCATAAAAGGCAGGTGATTTCTTGAGGATCCAGTGGGTCATTAGCTTCTCAAGAATGATTATGATTCATGAAGTCTCATATATGTGTATACAGGGTGTCCCAGGAGGAATGGACCAAACTTCGGGAGGGTGTTCCTTATGTTAAAGTATGCTGATATAACCCAAAACACCTATGTCCAAAGTTGAACGGTTACGGAGATAATGGCCAGAGAAGTGTCAAACTTTGACCGGTGTTACACACTTGTTGATTACAAAATACATATTAAAACTGGCAGGAATATGTGGATTCTGTAATGTTAATAATGTACGTAACATCAAACTAACTTGTGAGTGACGTGAAGCCATAAAATTGAAGTACGAAATACTCGCTCGCCATGTCATAATTGTCCTTAGGGTTTCCAAGCACCATACATGACACATGAATGGCAAGCGCTGACGTAACGTGGCTGACTGCGCGTTCTGATAAAGCCAACTACATACGTACGGCTAGGGTAAATCACGGCACTCAAGGACAAACACAGATAAGGCCTCTCAGCTGACAGGTACAGTGCGTGGACCTGCCAGAAGACCACACTTTTCTTGGGCCCTTATCTCCGTAACCGTTCAACTTTGGACATAGGTGTTTTGGGTTATATCAGCATACTTTAACATAAGGAACACCCTCCCGAAGTTTGGTCCATTCCTCCTGGGACCCCCTATATATAGCATTAGATATTTTTGAAAGTAACATATTAATGAAGTATTGGCTGTGTGTTTTAAAACAGATCAGTTGTTACCACTCATAGGTTAGTGTTAGTGAGTCCATAGATTGTAGGTTATATAAAAATTGTGTTCCAGCTACAGTAGCTATATGGCAGTGAATGGGATTAGCAGAGGATTGGGAAGGAAGTGGCCATGGATTATTTTGAGATATTACCCTGGCATTTGTTGCAAGAGACAGATGAAGCAAGTGCCCAGGTCAAGACTGCAACTTCTGATTCCTGTAACTTATTTTTGTTTTGGGTGGCAAGTTTGACTTGTTTTCAAATGCCTTTCCAGTGACATGGTGATATTCATGACTTGGGTGCTGTTCATGGTAATACTTCTGAATGTCCTCAGCTTTCTTCATGTTATGCGTGAAGTATGGTGCATGGCTGTTATTGTGCAATATTCTTTTCTGTGCAGGATGAAAATGAACCTAAACTCACAGAATCAGAAAAGAAGAAAGTCAGCTTGCAAGAAACCAGAAGAAGCTTACCCATCTTTCCTTTTAGAGATGATCTTATACAGGCAATTGAAAAACATCAGGTCAGTCATCCTTAAAGCTGTAAAGTAATATGGTACAGTATTTTCGAAAAAAAGCTGGAGAAGTTTATGTTCACTGGAATTGTTAATAATTCGGAAGGTTTAATTGGAAAATATGAAGTGTTGAACTGTGTGGCTGACGTCAGCAACTCTGTGTATGAGATCTGTGAATTCCAGAGATGGATTAACACAGTGAATTAAATGAGATTGGTTCAGATTACATAATTTTTATGCATGGATAGGAAAAAGCATGCTTCAAGGAAGAATGGTATTATAAAAGATGTCGGCTACAATGCTGAAAGGTGGGTACTCTCTAAATTCAGAAATATTTGTTTTGGTGAAACTGGGGCAGGGTAATTTTCTATGGACATTAGAGGACAGCATTTTGGTAGTTAATGGTGGGGATGTTTCCGTGTTTTGTAACTGAAAGAATATTGTAATGTTTAGCCACAGATGACAAATGGAAAAAATGAGGACTCTTCAGTGTGGTTACACGTGTTTATACGTATTACGAGCAGGACGGGTGTTCATGACTGAATGTATAAGGGGTGGGTCTTCTCGGCCCTTGCACCGTGACCTGCAATATTCTACTGTGCTTCAGTGTAACAATATACAGTAGCTAAAATTTTAAAGATGGAATATCCCTCGAATTAAGAAATTAAATTTTACTTGTGTAATTAAAAGATGAAAGCTATGAATCAGGATTCATATCCTATCCAAAAGCTCTACTAGAGTACTTGTGCGTTGATTTAAAGGCTGTGCCCACTGTGTGTAAAGAGTACAGAAAGAGGCAGTTTCATAATATGTTGTTGATGTTCTTTTAGGAAAGAGATGTAAACTGACAGGAAAGGTAATTCATATGTACTATATGTTTGACTTCTGTTATAGGTTTTAATCATAGAAGGGGAGACAGGCTCTGGGAAAACAACTCAGATTCCACAGTATTTGTACGAAGCTGGATTTACACGTGGTGGTAAGAAGATAGGCTGTACACAGCCACGTAGAGTGGCAGCCATGAGTGTATCAGCGCGTGTTGCGCAGGAGATGGGAGTTAAGCTTGGAAATGAGGTAAGACCTCACATACAAATCCGAAAGGCTTCCTTGTCTCAGTGTATTTTACTTTTAAAATAACAGAACTATGTGGTCTTTGTATTTTTCAACTTTGTATCAAAGTTCTTGAGTTCACATTTTGATGAAGATTGTAGTACAATTAAGTTAGCTTTCTGTAAGTCTGCATGTTTCACTATAGTGAACTTGAATTCCGGTCAGCAGCAAGATATATACGAGTATATATATACTAGCTGTACCCGGCCACGCGTTGCTGTTGCTCAGTCTGGTTAAATGGAAAAGAAAGAAAAGAGAAAGTGCCCGTTTCTAATGTGTTTAATTTCACAATGCTTGTGGGTATACAATATTTTTTGTTGTTCCATTGTCTGTGCAGATATAGAGATTGTCTGGTTTTTTCCGACTCTAGAACATGCAACGTATAATTGTCCATGTGAGAAGCAATCCGTGTCTAGATCTAAACCGCACTGTTCTAAAGATTGGCCCTGAGCTTTGTTGATGGCGACTGCAAACGCCAATCGAATTGGGAATTGCAATCTCTTAAATTGAAATAGCACATCTGTTAGAATCATAGGAATGCGAGGAATGAGGACATCTTCAACTTTGAAAGGTCCTGTCAAGATTGTTGCTTCTACAACGTTGCTCAATAATTTTTTTACTGCAAGCCGCACGCCGTTGCAAAGCTTTGGCTGGTTTATATTTCGCAACATGGTAATTGTCACACCTATTTTCAGTTGCAGTACATGCGGTGGCATCCCTGGCAGATGGAGTGAATTAAAAAATTCTGTTGGATAATTAACCGCTTCATCTGCTTCCACAACAGTGTCGACAGACTTGTATGTAACTGCCTCGCATTGAATGTTAGACTGAATGATATTGTTAAGTTTGTAGACGTCTTTGTTTTTGGCCGCAAGAATAGCTTGTTCACTCAGCCAATCGTGATTCTTATAATTGGTTTGAGTATTGCGAAATACCTTTTCAACCAATTCTTCTTTTGATGTCACTAAATTGCAGAAGTTATGAGGCAATGAAATTCGTCCTGAGGTCAGATCAACCGGCACCTTTCCGTTCCCAATTTCCAGCAATTGATGTGAGAATATCTCAGCTGGTCGATCATTTTGCAGCTGGACATGCATATTTGTAGTTAATTTTAACGTCTTTACGTGTCGCCACAAAGTAGAGTATTTCAGGCAAGCATTTATTTCGTCCGTTGGTGTCGATCGAGGAATTACAGGTAATGTTTGCGTGAAATCTCCTGCAAGCAATATTAATGCGTTTCCACGCAAATCTTGCAATGATCGACGAAGAGCCTCGAGCGATTTTTTGTGCGCCATTGTGCATTCATCCCAGACAATAAGTTTGCATTTCTGCAATACCTTTCCCATGCCTGATCCTTTAGAAATGTTGCACATGGGAGTTTCAATGAATTGCATGTTCAGTGACAATTTCAAAGCGGAATGAGCAGTTCTTCCACTTGGTAGCAATGTCACAGCTGTTCCAGACGATGCAAGAGCTAAGGCTATGTCATTTTGGGATCGAATTGCTGCCAGAATCAGTCTAATTAGGACCATTTTACCAGTTCCTCCTGGCACATCTAAGAAGATTTCTGCAACCCCGTTATTGACAGTTTGCATTATATGATCATAAATGCCTTTTTGTTCAAGCGTTAGCTTAGGAATATTTGATTGCACATATGACAAAAGATCACCTGTGTTGTAATTTTGTTCATGACGCAATTCTATATTGAACAAAGCAGCAGCAGATCGATTCGGTGATGGTATTCCCAATCGATTGAGAACTTTGTTCGCGATTTCTAAGCACAAATCTTCAATCATTATCAACGCTTCGTTGTAGATTTCTGCTGTGAAATCCATGGTCATAGTGGAATTTTCCTTGCATATTCGACGGATAATATCTTCAGCCATGTGCGATTTATATTTCTCCTATAACTCTGTTGAAGATGAAGGAGAGCAGGCAGTCAATATGATTGCAAACAATGCACGAATTTGATGTGGATGTGACGTGTTGCACGCGTCAGTAATGCATACATGCCAGTGTCGGTTGTTCTCCAGTAAATTCAGAGCTTGACATGCACTGTGGAAAGTGGCATGTGTAATGCCGTTGACAATTCTCAATTGCTGGAAAGACGGACCGGGCGGCACATTTACCAACAGCATGCGAAGAAAGAAGCATTCATCTTGATTGGGATGCACGGTGTACAGTCTGCCTATCGTAGTTTCTTTGAATATGCCAGTTTGTCCGTTGACTCGCTCTCCTCATTTGTGTCGTTCAAATGATTTTCCACTCGCATTCCATGTGTAATACATAGGCACTTCCGAATACAGCAGTGTTTTCACAAACGCGTCATTTTGACGTAACGCGAAGAAAGCAGTTAACATTGTAGCCGGTAGATTCTGGGCTATTTGTTGCACATTTGCAGTTGTGAAATAAACGCATTGTCCATTTTCTAGATGTACTGCTAAGTGAACAATGGCTGGACTTCGTTCATGTATGGGAAATGAAAGAATTAGCCATACAGCTTCAGTGCTGCTTATGTATGTTCCAGCCTGATACTGTGCAATTTCATCGATATGTATGACCGCATTCCTATCACTTCTTTCTGGTTGCATGCCAAAAACTGCCATGTCGCTGCCTTTATTCACATACATACAAATGTATTTAATCGATTTAACGGAGTTACAGTATTCCACGTTTATGTGCGCTTTGTATGTTTTTGATAGCAAAGGCGAATATGGAACAACCCACCAGTTATCCACTTCGATGTCACCATTTCGCATTTGTATGGTTGCTAATTTACCGCCATCTTCTGCTGATCTTGTTCTATATGAAGGATATCCATCGTTTCCTGTAACTGTGTTGGATAGTAATGCTCGAAGATATCGCTTAGAGCATTTTCCATCTATCATGCATGGTGAATTTGGATTCAGTGTACTGCAAGGTCCATGTATCATATTTTTTGTCACAACTTCATGCAAATCCTTATCGACGTTGGCATCAGGTATTTCAGCGCATGTTACATCGTGGATTTCATTTGAAGTGATTTTGTTATAGAGCCAGATTAGTATATGTGCGTGTGGCAGTCCTCTTTTTTGCCATTCCACTGAGTACATCCAGCAGTGCACAGTCCCAAACACTTCATGTTTTACCATGAACTCCATCAGTGATTTCAGCTTCTGTCTGAAAACACGTGCTGTGATGTCATGCCTATCCACCGGCGATTGCCCAGGAAGTAAGAGCTGTTGTATATCGTCCCAAGCTGGATTGCATGTGAACGTAATGAATAGTCTGGACGCCCGTAGTGACGAACATACGCAATTGCATCTTGAGCATACTCATGCATATGACGTGGACTGCCTGTATATGAAGACGGCAAAATGGTTAGTCTTCAAACGTTAGTTGTATTACCGTCATTTACAACTGCATCTTGCGAATGAACGTATTCTTCAGAGCGAAGCTTGGTCTGATCCAGACGGATGAATATCAAATGTTCTCTTTCGATTTTTGCATACATACGTATCTACAATGTATTGGTGAAACAATTGACGGCATTTCAAAATGTGATTGTCTTCATTCTCTCGAATCATTAATCGGTATGAATAATAGTTCATTGCGCTGCATTTCATATTTGTTTCTTCGCCACTGACTGGATTTATCATCTTAATGTTGAAGTGATATCCATCGGCACCATCCCAAAAAATGATTGGATATTGCAGGGCATCGTAGCATCAGTGAGTTTCTGCAACTTTTGTCAATTGATCGTTTCTCTGATGAAGAACAATATCTCTAGGTTGGAACTGATCTCCGACTATAACAATTACCACTTCGTCTATAGTTGGAGCATTGAATCTTCACACATGTTGTCCAGCAGGCGTTTTGTCAGCATGAATAACAATCTTGTGTGTATTAGATGGCATCATGTCAATTGCTGTTTTGAACAAACACACTAAATTGTTTTTTTCGTGAAGAAGCTCTTGCAGTTGGGAAACGATGGACCTTTTTATGCCGGTAGAAATTCTGCAGCATGCACTCAATTCATCATTGCCATCGCCGATTAAATACATCTGTAGGAATTTATGTTGCCCATCTGGGAACGGAAGCAGGGAGCCGGCTTTATGATAAATTTGTCCTTTCACTTTGAAAGTTGACATGAATTGAGCTGTTACAATTTCTGCGCCGAATGACATCATTTGGAAGCATGAGTTATATTTCCTGATGTTAGATAGGAAATGCTTTGATTCGGCGGTATATCTGGCAAGCAAAGTTTTTAATGGCTCTGGCGGTTCTCCAAGTTGAGGCAGTTTAATTTTTCCCATGGCGCAACACATTCCTTTCGTTTCTCCATTAAATTTCAGAGCCTTGCAATAAGGACACACTTCAGTCATGGTGCTGATGAGAACATGCCGGCTCAAACTATAATCTTCAGCTGGGCTGTACCGGAATGCAAGGCGATTGTAATCACATGATTGCTGAGCACGGAGTCGTGTTTGACGCTGATCTGCTGTTTCTCGTTGACGTCTTTCAGCCACTCTCAGCCTGTCGCGTTCATTCTGTTGAGAACGAAGCAGATCTGAAACTGCAGAACGCGATCGCTGTGCTCGCAACCATTCATCCTCAAGTCTGGCTGCACGTCACTCTGCTGCTTCTTCGGCACGTATTTGAGCCATTCTTTGTCTGTTTCGCTCGTTCGCTGATGCCTGTTCTTCCCCCGTTTGATTTGCAATTACTCGTTGCACTGCTTACGCTCTGCAAGTACGACGACCTAAGTTTGATCTTCTGCGAGGCATTATTTGGATGAACTAAAGCAGATCGATTGCACTGAAGAAGAAGAAGAAAGAAAGTTATAACAAAAACCTATAAAATTGCAAAACATTAAAAAATGAAAGAACACGAACAGGAAAACAAAGAAGAAACAAAAAATAAAAAATACTAACGAAATACTTCAATTCAAATGCAGCTCAGTCGACACAGCTCAATTCTACCGCCAATTTCACTGAAAAATAAGGAAAACAGTTAAGAAAACGAAATGAAAAACAATGAAAGAAGAAAAAAATAAATTATACTCATGAAATGAACGCTATGGTAAACGATACAGCTCAATTCCAACGCAGTGTCAAACGAAATAATTAAATCAAAATGAAAATAAATCGAAATCTATGAAAATCCAATTTAACAATGCAATCGGAAACATTGAAATGGAATCGTAAAATATTTAGTATAGCGTGAGTTGCTTTTACGTCCAACAGATGGCGCTGTTTTTCAAAAGAAGCATGTTTTTACCTGTCACAGGTGTGACATCTATATAATAGGTATATAAAAAAACGCGCTTATTCGAATGCAACGTTGTGTCTCAAAATTTCAAAGCAATCGGTGAAGAACTTTAGGGGATTTAAGATTTTGAACAAACGAACATTTACATTTTTATTTATATAGATTTGTAATTGAAGACAGTGAGCATGATAATTTCAGTTGTAAAATTTCGGGATCATACTTGATGGATCAGTCGTACTATTAATGTTTAAGTGGTGACCATTGATTACTGAAGTAATAAGTGTAAATTAAATGAGGAATCACTCAGCGAAAGACTTGACAGGCAGCTAGCATTGCCAACTATGCCAACTAGTATTTTTATGATTTCTTGTCATAACCATAAAAGCTCGAACTCTTTAACACTAAAAAACATATAACTAGAGATATTCTTTGATCAGTTTTCATGTAACATGTGACAAGTAGGCAGGTCACTGATTAGGCAAGTGCAATGTGTTATTCTGGATTATGTCACTGCGTAGTATTATAAAAAAAAAGTAAAGCTATCCCTGTAACAGGCCTTGAAGGCCCATAAGGTTGTGAGAGGTTGAGACTCCCACATTATCTAGACAGTTGGCTCAAAGATGGGCGCAAGGTTGTCAGCTTTACGCGCAAGCCGCACTTTACTCCCCAGGAAAATTATTTAATTAATTCCTGGTACTCATTTCTGTTAGAGGCTGAGTCGGCCCCAGGGCCATAGTGCGGCTGGAAGGATTAGGTCAATTGAAGAAAATCCAATGACCTCATTGGGACTTGAATCTGCGACCTTCCAACTTGTAGCATAGTGCCTCAACCTCATTCGCTACCACATGCCCAATATAGAATTATACGTGGAACCTGCTGCTTCCATCATCAGAGTACAAGTTTGTACTACTATGAAAATGGAGGCACCAGATTCCACCAAAATATTAATCATCACTTACAGTGTTAGACAGTGTCATAACCAAAGACCATAATCTATATTTGCACAGCCACGAAAGCCTTGTTACTGGAACATTTTGGTCTCAAGACATTTTTTAACACAGGTTGGCTATAGCATCAGATTTGAGGATTGCACTTCTGAGCGGACAGTTATCAAGTACATGACTGATGGAACACTACACAGGGAGTTTCTCTCAGAACCTGATCTACAGTCATACAGGTATGTTGAAAGATGATGTGAAGTAACAGATACGTTCAAATTCTGTGCTGTTACAGTTCGAGTAATGAGAAATATCTACACTACTTTTGATGTTGAACAGTATGGTTATCTCTGTGGTTAGTTGCTGGCTTCTTGCTATGGAGGCCTGGATTCAATCCCGGGATATTCCACGTGGTATTTATGGTGGGCACAGTGGAACTAGGGAAGTTTTTTCTGCAAGCACTTCTTGTTTTCAGTTCCCGTTATCATTTCATCTGTGCTCCATACTCACCTGTCATTAGGGAATGGCTCACTGGGTCCATTTGAGGCACAGTCTGATGGCACTCTTGAAAATAATGGTTATTTCTAAAATGTACATGTTTTAAGAGCAAGTGAAAGCATGCAGATTAGAGATGAAGCTGTTTCTTAAAGAGTTTTCATGAAGAATAACTTCCCAATACAGGATCATGTACTAGAATTTTTTGCTATTCACCCATATGATGCTTTATGTCACAGAACTTTAGGAAAATTATATAAAATTAGAAGTTTTCATGGTAGTGAATATTAAGACTGTAGTCTTGTATGTAATGGCATGTAGTTTGGTAGATAACAGATGTGTTGGAAAAATGTACTGCTTCCATCATCATGGTACTCTGTCTGTCAAAGTATACAATGTCAGGTACCAGAAGATTATGACATATTAATCTCTGACTCAGTCAGGCATCTTTGAGAAAGGAACGGTAAACTATATTATTCTGTAAACGTTTGAGTGCCATAACAACATTTTATACATTGTCAGTAATAACAAGTTTTACCATACTGCAGCTCTTTTCCCACTCCATTTGAAACACTAATGCATGGTGCTGTCAGCCCAATGTTTTCTAGGTATATTCATTTTAAGTAAGAATTTTGTTGTGTTTCACTACACTAGAAGGGACAGGACCCTTCCAATTTTACTAAAATAAAATGCCTGAATATGACACACTTGTTTTTTTAATTGTATATCTGAAGAGAGGCACATGTAGTTATGAATAGATATAGAAGGTGGAAGGGTGCCTGTAAGTTTATTAGTTATTTGTTTATAGAATATGTGTTTCTTGCAGTGTGATGATCATCGATGAAGCTCATGAAAGAACTCTTCACACAGATATTTTATTTGGACTTGTTAAGGACATTACCAGGTTCAGACCTGATCTTAAGCTGCTCATCTCAAGTGCAACGCTGGATGCACAGAAATTCTCAGATTTCTTTGATGAAGCACCTATATTTAGAATACCAGGTATGAGAGACATTCTTTCATTTAATGTTCTGTACTTATCAGAATCAGAGATCATTTTTTCTTATTTACCATCTAAAAACAACAGCTCAGAGATGATGTCATGCAGAAGGAAAGATCACGGGAGGAAACTGAGGTGAAGCTTCAGGAAGACAGAGATAGATGAAAAGGCTTGGTTTGTGAACAAACCACATTTAAATGTAAAAGTGAAGGAAGAAAAAGGCCATCTAAAAGTCAAGAGCCTTCTTCCCAGAAGTTAGCAGAATTAATGAAAATCACAGTGAGGACAGCAGGCCACAATCAGTTAGATTATAAAAGGAATTTTGATGTAAAGAGAAAGATTTATTAAATACATAGCCAGTCATGAGTTCTTAGAAAAGTGCAGATCCACCTGGAGAAATTGTGGCCTTACAGCCACTAGCCACTAGCAATATTCGCACCTGGGATAAACCTCATTGGTTTTGATATACAAAAACTTATACCAATTCTACAGCATAATAATTATAAATTACTCTCACATATAGTATAGTATATAGTATAGAAAACCAAGATTACCGGCCATGGGAATCCATTGAGCTGACCACACAATACTCTATATCCGCAAAAGTTGGCACTAACTTCGCCAACAAGCAGAGGCTGCTTGGTCAGTATAGTTCGCTTGTGGACTAAAGGCCACGGAGCATGCTGTAGAATTTTGCTGTCTGGTAAAACTAAGGTGTATTATTTTAAGAGGGTATAAAATAATATTAAAGTGGCAGATATTTGTATTGAGTGTGAAATGTTGGAACATTCTACATCAGTCTGAAATACGAGGTAGCAGAAGTAATGTATAGTTGTCCCTGTGCTTGCTTAAGGATTAGTCATTCCATGAAGACATGTAGTATTCAAGTTATAGCTCCACATATTCTTAACCTCATCATTAGAAGAAAATGGTAGCCTCAGAGTCTGGCCACTTTACCCATGATAAAAGAGCTCATAGGACTCTCTTGGTGGAAGGCTGCATGGGTAGGTGGGCCCTAGTCATTTTGGATATGATGATGCAGAGAAGCATCCTTACTTTGCTGGGAATTGAAATGTGGTGATCCAGCCTCCAGTGCCATGAATATAAACTACTACATTGTAACTTATGTTGGAGCATAAGGAATTTTGAAACTGTACATTTAATTCCTTCTGTCTATTGCAGGACGTCGTTATCCTGTTGATATTTACTATACGAAGGCCCCAGAAGCAGATTATATTGATGCGTGTGTGGTATCAGTACTTCAGATCCATGCAACACAACCACTGGGAGATATATTAGTTTTTCTCACTGGTCAAGAAGAAATTGAAACTTGCCAAGAGCTGCTGCAGGAACGGTCTCGCCGTCTTGGTTCTAAGATAAGGGAGCTGCTCATTCTACCTGTTTACTCCAACTTGCCAAGTGACATGCAGGCTCGTATATTCCATCCAACTCCTCGAAATGCAAGAAAAGTAAGATGTTGAGCATGGTGATTTGGGTATATTACATTTAAATGGTTTACAGAGTGTAAATCCAAATGTTGTTAGGATAATCAAGTGAAGGACAATAAGATGGGCAGGGGATGTGGCATGCATGTGAGGGATGAGAAGTGCCTGTGGGCTTTTGGTCAGAATTTGAAGGAAAGAAATCACATGAAGTTCTGTGAACATATGGGAGGATAGTATTAAAGTATATCATAAAGAAAAAGGGTGGGAAAGTGTGAAGTTTATTCATTTGACTCAGAACAGGGTTTAACGGTGAGCTCTTGTGAACACTTATAAATTTTCAGATCCCAGAAAAGGGGCGAACTTCTCAAGTACATGAGTAACCATTGCCTTGGGCCACACCATAGTTCAAGCGATTAGTCGCTGGCTTCCCACTGCGATGGCCTGGGTTCGATCCCGGGTCTGGTCAAGTGGGATTTGTGATGGACGGAGTGGCTCTGGGGCAGGTTTTCTCAGAGTACTTTAGTTTCCCCTGCCAATCTTCATTCCACCAATTGCTCCACAATCACCCTCACCTATCATCTGGGGCTGGTACAATGGGTCAGAAGTGGCCGCAGTACAAGGGACTTGGTCCCACCCCACTAGCAATAAGAAAAAACCATTGCCTTCTTAAGAAGAAGTCTGTTCCATGGAGTAAAGGTAAAGTTGTCTCTGTGTTTAACTAATTAAGGAATACGCCATGAAGGTGTATAGGGGAGTACTTGTATAGATATGTGTTTTCTTGACCTCACCAATAGTTGGAGGTGAATGGTCAATTTCATGCCCCGGCCACTTTGCTCGTGGTACCCATTGGAAAAGAGGCTGGCTGGACCCCAGGACTGGTCTGAATGATGGCAAGAAGAGAAATACTGGGACTGACCCCTCTTGTCATCCAGTCCATAGCCAGTCACTCTACCCACTGCGTTATCACAGCTCATCTGTTCCATGGAGTTCTGTGTTTAATTCATTATAATATTATACCGTATTAGAGGGAAGATTACTTGTAGAATCATTCGTTACCATCACCATCAATGTAGTCATCAACATCATCTACTTGTCTTTATATGTTTTTGATCTCTTTCAGGTGGTACTAGCGACAAACATTGCAGAGACATCCCTAACTATTGATAACATCATTTATGTGATAGATCCAGGATTTTGTAAACAAAATAGTTTCAATTCGCGTACAGGCATGGAGTCACTTATAGTTGTGCCTATCTCAAAGGTAAATTTGGTTTACAGATAATGATATTTTGTATTGTGTTCAAAATACAGTAGGCAAGAAATTCAAAATATAGTATACTAATTTGATAGTGTACAGAGTCTTAAAACAGTTAATATGAAAAGAGGCTTTTCATGCAACTCTTAGTCATCACTGAAATCATTTGGCAAGGTTTTTCCAGATACAGTTGCACCTCTCAAGCAAAAGTTGTAGAGAAATATTGTGCCCAGCACAAATTTTCCTTGAGTTTTACAGTTTTCATGATAATTAACCTTTATTGTATGTGCACTGCAAAGATATTGCTGTTTTCATTATTAATTGTATATTTAGGTTTATATTGTGAACTTTATCATTGTGTCTGGTGTCTTCATTTTGTTGTTTATATGTGGTTTAATTTAATTCAAGATTGTGATAAAAAGAAAAAAGATGAAGTTATTCCCATACTTAATTCTATAATTAAACACTATACCATCAAGGCATGTGAGGGAGTGGAGGTATGTAAGAATACAGCTCCACCATCCCTGACATGGGCATTATGTGGCAGTGAGTGGTCAGTTTCATTTTGCTGCCTCTTTACCCCAGGAATAGAGCCCCTGGTACCCTTTGGACAGGAGGGTGGGTGGGTCTCAGAGCCACTCCAGATTCAGTCCAGAAGAGAAAAAGATCTTGCCCCTTTGGGGAATCAGATCCAAGTTATCCAGCCCATGGCCTGATCCGAATGCCAAGTGAGCTGTGCCTGCTCCTTAGAGCTGTAATAAGTATGTATTTATGGATCAAACACTGAAATGCCAACATATAGAAACAGAGCTAGCTGAGGTGGGTTTGTTTTACGGTCATTTGTAGTGCGGTAGATCATCCGATTAAATCAGAATGCCAGAGACAAGTTGGTAGCAGTCGTTCTCCATATTCTGGGGACCCAGGTTCAAATCTTGGCCTTTAGATCAGCTATCCTGGGTGACGATTGTTAACAGTTTTCCTTAATCCAAAACAGGCAGCTGGCAAGACAATAATACCACAAATTAGCCAATGACTGTTTCTTTCCACATCCTTTCCAATTCAGTATCCACTGATCATCTTACCATTCTACACTATGGAGCAGATGTGGCCAAACTGCACATGGCTCTTTGGAACCATAAGTGTTGCTTGTGGAAAAGATTTTAGTCAGTCCTTGTTTGCAAATGAGTTACATATGAAACATTTGCTGTGTGGAAAGAACATCTTTGCTGTCCAGTCTACATCAGTTTGCAGCTCAGTTCAGTGAATTTGCTCACCCCCACTATATAGTGTGAGCTACTGAGAGCATGATTAAGTAAAGCATAAAACAGACCAGTAATACTAACAGTTATAAAAATATAAAACCACAACTTTGTCTTTAAGCTGTGGAAAGCAGTGACATGATTGTTGTGTTGCATGTTCATTTGTTGATGGATTGAATGATAAATCATGGTAACATTTTGACTTCCAGGCCTCTGCAAATCAACGAGCAGGGCGTGCAGGCCGTGTTGCAGCCGGCAAGTGTTTCCGTCTGTATACAGCCTGGGCATACAAGCATGAATTGGAAGATAACACAGTGCCAGAGATTCAGCGTATTAATTTGGGCAATGCTGTATTGACATTGAAGGCTTTAGGAATTGATGACCTTGTACATTTTGACTTTTTGGATCCTCCACCTCTTGAGACACTGGTGAGAAAACTGATTTATTAGGAGGTTGGTGAGAATGGGATATGGAAGGTGTATACATCCTTAGAGTTATAATTTTCTTTGCTGTATGTTAGTTTGAGGGAAACTGACCAGATTAATATTTCTGGTCTAACCTATGATATAAGTCTCAGGAAGGTAAACTGTTACTCTGCTTATGAGTTATACTATACTGAGGCGACAGAAGGAGGTCTCATGTTTGGCGGAGATGACGCTGCTTGAAGCATCCCAATATCTTCCTGCTATTCAGTTCCTCTCCATCTCTGCAGCTGCTTGTTTTGTCTTTCTTATTTTATGTGAGTACTTTACAACAGTCAGTAACTCGACTGTATAGCATGGAATGGTAGAATGACTGGTGACAGATGAATTGGAAAGGTTCTGGAAAGAAGTAGTCTGGCCTCAGTTGAGGTACTGTCTCAGCGTGTGTGGTGGAGGACTGAAGGAAACCATGAAAAACCTGTCAGGATAGGTGGTGTCATGGACGAGATTTCAACTGAGCTCCTTGTGAATACAGTCTACAGCATTAGCAATGTGCGAACCCATTCCATTCCAATACACTTGTCGTTAGCGAAGTTATCCCTTCCAACTTTGCAGTGAACAAAATGGCTAGAAGACTGGAGGTGAGTATATGAAGTATGCTGCTGGGGGGTGAAGCATAACAGCTCAAGGGAGATGTGGAGGGTGGTCAAGCTATGTGACTTCTTTCTTTCCATGGCCTCAGTATAATAACTTTATCTTCCAGTACTTACCATCTGATAGTTTCAGGATAGGAAGAAAATACATCATTTCCTGGCTTTGCACAGTGTTCTGGGAAAGACTGTAAATAAGGCCGCTATCAGCTGAAGGCAAGATGTTACTTTATGATTTTACAGAGCAAAAGCTTGACAGCAGCTTGTGTTTTATACCCCTTATACGCAGTATTACAGAAGTAGAGCTCAGACCCTAATGAAGACCAAATAAGTCATTTGAAGTTTCTGTGTTGAGATTGTAGGACTGTTCTAATATTGAGATATAAAACTCTGTGAACACTGGGTGATGTAAGATTTTAGGGTTTGAATATGCATCTTTAACATGACTCTGATAGAAAAATAATTTTTAACCTTTATTGTTTGGGAGGAAGGGATTTCAAATCTCCCGACACTGTAAGGCAAGTAGCCATATTTTAGAAGGGGTAAAGATATTTGTAAACAAACAATGCACCTCTCAGCTAGCTGGATTGCATGCATCTGTGCAGTAATGCAGCATATAGCTTGTACCGGTCAGTCTGGCAGAAGGGAACATGAATTATAATTTATACCACATACTGTGTAGTGTGTTATTTTATACAAAATGTTTTCTTTTATGGCAGGTATTGGCATTAGAGCAGTTATACGCACTTGGGGCACTCAACCATCATGGAGAACTAACAAAACTGGGCCGTCGAATGGCTGAATTTCCCGTTGATCCCATGATGGCAAAAATGATCCTTGCATCAGAAAAGTAAGTTACGTGATATGCCAGTATGCAGTTAACAGAGATCTGATTCATATTTTGCACTTATTTTTGCTATAAACACTTAAACATATTAGTATATACAGATTGATATATTTAAAATTGCATCCAAATAGGAAACATATTTTATATCTCATTGAACATAAATTAATTAAGTATATAAAAGATGCTGGGGCATGCAGTAGCTTAACTGGTTAAGGTGCTGTGCTACAAGCTGGAAGGTCGCGGGGCCAAGTCCCGATGATGTCATTGGATTTTTTCAATTGACCAAATCCTTCCAGCTGCACTATGGCCCTGGGGTCAACTCAGTCTCTAACAGAAATGAGTACCAGGAGTATTCTTGAAATATTCTTTGGGGTAAAGGGCAGCTGGCACATAGGGCTGACAACCTTGCCGCCATCTATGAGACGATTGTCTAGAAAATGTGGGAACCTCAACATGTCACAACCCTATGGGCCTCCACAGCCTCTTACAGGGATACCTTTACATATATAAAAGATGCTGGAAGTATCATTCATTGTCAGAAATACATTCATTCTTCTTGATCATGTTTGAGTTGTACACTGAGGTACAGAATACAATGTATTGTCTTAGGGCACAATTGTAAATGGATCACTCTTTATGTATAATGCCTCCATGCCTGTAGCATGACAGTGATCAGAAATACTTTTCTTGCTTTTATAATTTCCCTGAAAGTCTGTATATTGTTTCCTGACTGAGCAAGAACAGATAAAACATTTCAGTTAGCTGTATCCTTTGATTGCAGGTATAAGTGCTCAGAAGAGATTCTGACTATTGCTGCAATGCTTTCTGTAAATGGTGCCATTTTCTACAGACCCAAGGACAAGACAGTCCATGCTGATGCTGCACGACATAGCTTCTTTACACCAGGTGGTGATCATCTCATGCTGCTGAATATTTACACACAGTGGGCTGATTCTGACTTCTCCACACAGTGGTGTTATGAGAATTTCTTACAGCATCGCTCTCTGAAACGTGCACGTGATGTACGTGATCAGCTGGCTGGGCTCATGGCACGTGTTGAGATAGATCTGGTTTCAGCAGCAGGTGACACTGTTGGAATCAGGAAGGTAACCCACAGTGAAATCTAATAATACATAAAGATAGGACACTGATATTTCTGCATTCAGACATTCAGTCTGCAACGAGCCATGAAACCGAGTAATGTTTGTAGTAAAACGTAAGCACAGTGCAACAGTTTCGGTGAATTTTCTTCTTTTTATTCCGTTCTCTTGAAAAATGTAAGAGTTAAGAAAAAGCATAATTGGTATGAAATGTGTTCCATTTTTCTCTACAGCTTTTGTTCAAAATGTTTCTGTTCTCCAAAATTTGTAGTGAGTTACACTGAAGATCTGTGTAGAACTGTATGTAGACTTTCATGTAAGGTGTCCATTGTCCCTGCCTTCTTTTAACCAAAATTGGAATGTCAACAAATTTTAGTAAAGCTCCTCAGTATGTAATGTCATGAAAATCAGTTCAGCAGTTCTGCAGCAAGTTTCTGCATTTATCCACATGACAGAGAGATTGAGATGACAAAGTAAACAGTAACACCGTGAACATGCCTAGAGGTTCAGATTTTGTGGTTTATAACGTATTCTATGAAATACAGCACAGTCCGAATATAATCTGATCTTATATTAGAAACCACTCTCACTTATGGAGCTGAGCCCTTCTTGAGAAGCCGCTAGTTGTGCAGCTACTCAAGAACTTCCCAGCATTTTATGGAACCCGAAGGTTCATTACCGTGTTCACAAGATCCCTCCTGTGGTCCATATCCTGAGCCTGATTAATCCAAGCCATACCATCCCATCATATCTCTCTAAGATCCATTTTAATATTGTCCACTCACCAATGTCTTGGTCTTCCCAGTCGTTGTCTTCCCTCTGGCTTTCCACCAATATCCCATATGCATTCCCCTTCTCCCCCATTTGTGCTTATATTAGAAATACCTGCTCACAATATCCTTACATTTCAAATGTGTATTTATAAGATACATATGAAAGCTTACAACCTTATCAGAATGATGATTTTCATTTCTGTATGCAGAAAATGCTATACAAGCCAAACATGCATTGTAGCTTTCTTCATTTGTATAGTTGGTGACTGATTTTGCATTGCAAATGTGACTTACAAGTAGGCATGGATAAGGCAAAGGCAAGAACTTGGAAAAATTCTGAGAACTGAAGAATGAGAGTCTTCTCTAGAAGACAGTTTTCTTCACAATAGTCACAGTAACAATAGTCATTTTTTCACAGAACACTAAAATGTACTGCTTATCCCTTTGTATTAATAAAGTCAGATGTGGGGTCATGACCTCTTTCACTGTCAGCAGAAAAATGGAGGGAACGAGGCAGTTTTAAATTTGCAAGGTGATTGATTCTTTGTAGCACTGCTGAATGTTTTGATTCTGTTGGATTGGGTAGTTTGTGTGCTAATGCACAAGGCAGAAGTAGTTATCTCAACATTTTCAAAATCTGAGTCTGAAAAATCGGTGTTCAAATTGATATTCTTTTCTTGTTTTTTTGCCATATGCTTCCATCTTCCTTTGGGCTGCACATTCCTTCTCTGATTGGCTACTCATGTCTTCCATGACAATTTTCCTTGCATCTTCTTATCATCAGTCACATTCCTAACTTGGCTTACTTATGCTTGGAAGATGGGGGCATTGGGTTCCTCAAAGAATTTGTACCCACATACAGGATTACACAATGTCATAACCAGACGGTCAGTATAGTCTAGCAAATACTTTGACTTTCTCCTTGGTTATTAAGTATACAATTCTGTGTCTTACCTCTACAGGCAATCACAGCTGGATATTTCTACCATGTGGCTAGACTGTCTAAAGGAGGCCAATATAAAACAGTCAAACATCAGCAAACAGTGATGATACATCCAAACAGTAGTATGTTTGAAGATTTGCCTCGCTGGGTGATATATCATGAACTTAAGTTTACCACCAAGGAATTCTTGTGTCAGGTAAGATCTGCCGCGAAGATCCATATTGTAGTAGAATGTAGAAATTTAAATGCAATGGGAATGTGCACTACCAACATTTAAAGAGGAAAAATTGCATTGGAATTATTTAATCTGTATCAGAATATAAGCATATAGGGAATAAGAAAATTTAGTTATTTTTCATCAAAGTAAATGGCATTAGTATGAGATATTTTGGTAAACAAATATTAATAGAAACAAATCTAGTATACAAACATCATGGAAAAATTAATTATGAAATATGTTAATGAGGCCTGGGTATTAAGAAGAGGAGCGCTGAAAGACGGGAGGCAGGCAAGTCAGATACAGTACCAAATCAGGAACTGGAATTCACCCACTGGGGTCAAGGTATCCCAGTTAGACCCCAACTGCAGTTAATCCTAATCCTGCAAAACTCATTACAGTGGAAGTGAAAAATCAATTTTATTTACAAATTTTCACAGTGAAGAGGCACCAGCTTATATCTGAGGTTATCTTATGGTCGAATAAGTACGGTATTTGAGTTTTATGGATAAGAATTTGTTACGATGGTTTCGCAGTGACAAACTGTAGAGCAACTCTTTAACACCATTAAAATATTGGTTGTCATGGCCATAGTTGCTGGTTATGTGAAGGTCAGTCTTAACATCTTCAGCAATAAAACTACAAAGAGTATTTCGATCTGATTTCAGGTGATTGAAATTGAAAGTAAATGGCTCCTTGAAGTAGCACCTCATTACTACAAACCTCATGTGCTTGAAGATTCAACAAATAAAAAGATGCCAAAGATGACAGGAAAGTCATGAGCAGAACTGGGAATTCATTAGTTATCATTGTTCATAGGTGCAACATAAAATATAACACTACAAATAAAAATGGTATTATTATTGTATCTAGAATCTGTAATTAAACTTTTTAATATATCACAAACTTAACGTATAATAAAGAGCCCAAAACAAACAGAAAACAAGAAAATACAAATTGTTATGTCCATTTCAGTTTGTTCAGGTGGGCAGCAAGTATAGGGTCAGCTTGCTGCCTACTTCAAGCTGGTTTAGGCAAATTTTAATCTAACAACATACACCGTGCCTTATCAAATACTGTTCTGTTGAGTCTCTCTGCCACCCCATTTTGTCCAGGTGTGTAGTGAATGGTCAACTCATACACTATTCCTTTGCTCCCAAAATAATCCTTGATTTCCTCTGACAAATATTGTCTTCCATTGTCACATCTGAATGAACAAATTCTAGTTCAAAATCTAGCTGTTGCCATTTCCACATATAATTTGATATACTGCAAAAACATCTGCTTTTGATTTCATTGGAAATGCTACAGAAAAATGTGTATATTCATCTAGTAGGGTCAGAATATATCTATTTCCATTATGAGACACAGGATCTACTGGACCTACTACATCACTATGAATCCTTTCAAGGGGTATGCTAGCTTTAACTCTAGTCTGGTTATGAGACACTCGAGATTTTTACCATTAACGCATATTTCAGTTTCATTATTATTTACATTCATTCCATCAACAATTCTGGATAACCGCTTCAGTTGATCATGTCCTACATGTCCCTTTCTTAAATGCCATATTTTACTGTTGTTTACATTAACAGCACAGTAAGCCTCACAATCATCTACTTCCTTTATAGTCATACTCAATTTATACAAATTTCCATCTCGATCTGCAGTTCCAACAACTGTATTTTTTTTGTTATCTCTGCTTTACCACTTTCTATATTTATAACAAAACCCATCCTGTCTAGATTATACACTGATAATAAGTTGTAAGTCAAGTCTTTGACTAAGAACACAACTGAAATTTTAATATTCCTCATCTCTCCATTCACACACGACTCTGCTATTATATCTCCCTTTGCATATGCCATTAAATAACTATTATTTTTAGCAATATGAATCTTTGCTGGAACAGGCAACTCATATGTGTTTATCACATATGTATCTTCCTTAAGAGATACAGAGGCATAGAATACCCGACAGCAGGGGGACAGGAGATAGGACCAATGATGGCTACAGGGTCATCATCAAATGTAATACGAACCGACAAACGTCGGCAAAGTGTGTATATAGTATGTATATAGCGACATAGGGAAATAGAATAGGATAGGAATGTGTGTGAGTTTAATTCAACCTAGCATTTCCTTAAGTGTTACCCTCTTCCCTGACGACTCCTGGGCCTCCCAAAGCTTCGGCAAATTGCGAATTAATCCAGGACCAGTGATGTAAGCAGTGATAAGTTCATTAGAGTTCTTGACATACAAGAAGGTGGCAGCATAACAGTGGAGACAGTGGTGAGATAACCAATCCACCCCTGTCGTAAGGGCGTAAGGGCACAACAGTGGTGGAAGCGGTGGGGATACCTCCACGCCATAACAACCCTCAGTCTATGTTCCTCCCTTAATGTCAGAGTCCAAGTTTCGCACCCATACAGAAACACAGGCAAAATTATAGTTTTGTATATTCTAATTTTTTATGTTTTTTGACGACATATGAGAAGACAAAAGGTTCTGGACTGAATGATAGTAAGCATTACCCGAGTTCAGTCGCCTCTTAATTTCCTCCTGAATCAGGTTTTGATCTGTTATAGCAGTGCAACGCGCATTCAAAAGAGAGTACGGAAAAGAAAGACCGTGTAAACAAAGCATTTTGCGGCGGTATCGGCAATTAAAGCACACTGATTGCCTGTGTAAACGGAAAAGCACCAGTCGACCAAATGTGCCAGATGAAACAGTGGCAAGAGTGAGGGAAAGTTTTGTGCGTAGGCCACAAAAATCAACGGTCCGAGCAACCCGCGAACTTGGACTACCGCAGCAAACTGGAAGATTTTGCGACGACGGTTAGATTTCAAACCGAACCGTCTGCAGCTCCTGCAACAATTAAAACCAGAAGATTATGGCCGACGCCTGGAATTTTGCGTGTCAATGCAGGAAGCAGTGGAGGATGAAGATTACACCGCCAAGTTGATATTCAGTGATGAAGCAACATTCCATTTATCCAGGAAGGTTAATCGTCACAATGTGAGATTGTGGGGCACTGAAATTCCTCGTGCAATTGTAGCACTTGGAAGAGATTGACCAAAGCTGAATGTTTTCTGTGCAATGTCACAGACAAAGCTGTATGGGCCGTTTTTCTTTTGTGAGAAAACTGTGACTGGTACATCTTACCTAGATATGTTGCAGTTATGGTTGTTTCCACAACTGGCTGCTGATTCTGGGATTTTGTCTTCCAACAAGATGGGGCATCCCCTCATTGGAACATCAATGTTCGTCGCTACCTAAACAATGAACTTCGGCATCTCTGGATTGGGCGTGTTGGTGAGGATGACATAGCTCTGTTCACTTGGCCCCCCAGATCACGTAATCTAACGCCTTGTGACTTCTTCCTTTGGAGGTACATTAAGGATTGTGTTTACATAACGCCACTGCCAAGAACACTAGTAGAGCTGAAGGAATAGAACATTTGTAGGGTCTGAACAAAACGTGGTGAGTTTACGGTTCTTTTTATATATTATTCATATTTGTGTGTGTAGTGCTTTGGAAAATGTAGCATTTTAAAAACGAATGAATCATTTATAGTAGCCCTGTATTTCTCCTGCTTGAATGTTCTGCCAGAATTTGATCACTACCTGGCGATTTATACCGTTTTAATTTTGCAATAGCACTTTCAACCTCAAAAGGGCTAGGATCAGGTATTAACGGCTCAGCGGTATGGATTTCTGTCTGCCTAACAGTATTGACCCTATGTACATTCAATAACTGAGAGAAGTAGTTCCTTCACCTATTCAAAATGTTGCGGGAATCTGCAAGCAGAACACCATTCTCATCCCTCACTAAGTTACTGTGAGGCTGGTAACCCCTCTTGAAGTCATTTATTCCTGAAGAAAGCAGTCTTCTGGGATTTGGCACCGTGTATATGTAGTGTTAACCGACGTTTCGGAGGAACGTATGCCCCCATCTTCAGGGTTGAAGAAAAAGTATAAGTAAATNGAGGAAAGGTATCTTACCGACACAAAAGAATTTCCTCTTTATACATAACATATGACTTCTATTCTAAAACTGTATGACTACACCACACACAACAACCGTCTTGCCACACCGGAACTGCACAGCCTTCTGGGATACAAAAAAACAAAGAGACCAAAGAGACTACAGTTTAGTGAGTCAGTTTCACAACTGAAAGGAATACATAATATTTATTGTGGAATGTTAGAATTGCTATACACAATGTTTCAATACAGCGTTCAAGGTATTACAGAGTTCACTATTGTTATTATTATTCTTCAGTTCTCCAAACTCAAGTTTGTCTGTGTATACGGTGCAACTGTAATAACTATTGTAGAACATGTAAGATTTGAGGCTTTCACGGCGGTGACTATGAAGAAAGCAGTCTTCTGGGATTTTGCACCGTGTATATGTGGTGTTAACCGACGTTTCGGAGGAACGTATCGCC